GGGGGGGGGGCTTGTGTGGTGACCCACAAGGGAGGGACATTCACCAGAAAGCTGTACCTTTAAAGAAGGGGAGGGAGTTGACATGTTTCTGGGTTTTAAGGAATTATACACGTAAAAGGATGAAAGAGAGTCACTTGCTGAACAGTCAGTTTAGTGTATATTGTAAATGGGGCACAACTCGCCGTCGTCTCCCAGTCTCATTTACCTCATTTCCACAGTGGCTTAAAAAGCCAGGTAAGTTCCGCCCCATCCTCCCCATGCAGCGAAGGGGACGCACCATGCTGAAGGCACGTTGTTGACGTTAAACGTTGTCACTTGGTACGTTTGTAATTCCCCACATGCCCTAATTAATAGTGGTGCTCAAACTTACTCAATGGCTTGCGGGCTGTCACCTGCGACGCCATCACCTGCTTCCACCGACCCCGAAGAGTCACCGTTTTTCTTCCGACGGGAGTTGCAAACTTTCCTCCGCTTGCTGGCACCGGCGCTGTTCTCGTCTTCGTCCTCTTCACTTTTGTTGCCCTTCAGCCAGGCCGGGACAGCCCGAGTGGAGCGGTCGCGTAAAACCCTCCCAGAGCCCTGCGTAGCTCCGTTCACGGCCGCTTGTGAAGCGGGGTCGCCGGATCTCGTGCGGGTGGCTCCCCGCTCCCTGAGCCCTCGCCGCGGGGTGACGGCCGCACCCGGGGCCGGGGTCTGCTCTGCGGCCTTGTGCTCCACCAGCTCTTTGCCTTTATTTACATCTTCATTTCGGTCGCTGGTTGCTTCCATCACCGAGAACGCACTTTAGCCCGTCTTTAATTCCGTAGAAAGTCCGGATGGTTTACTTGCAAAACGAGGAATAGCGCACATCTAGTATACAGACATTTTGATGTTGAGAGGCCTCTATCCGACTGTGGAGCATTTTCGGAAAAGGTTCGTTGCAAATTATACACATCGATTTATTGATTACAAAATGAAAACTTTTCTTAATTATCTATTCGGAAATTACCCGATATAACCTTAAAGAAGCAGCCGCCGTTTTCGCGTTCTTAAAGCTATAGTAAACCTACTTATTCTAGCGGGCCTGGAGCGCAACCATTTTGTGCGCTTTGTTGCGTCTCCTTTAAGCCAAACACAAATCGAGGGGAAACGTTGGTGAGAGCCACTGCGCTTTAGCAGCTGCACAAATCACCTGGATTCTGTTGTTCTGTTTCGCACTCGCTCACACTGCGGCTGCGTCGATTGTAGATCTGCAAAAAACATCATCAGTCGTGAGGGCCGTCGAGCATTTTGGGAATTGGAGTTCAAATTCTGGCTACAGTAGTTTATTCTCCCGATCTTTTTTTGATAGCGCTTTACATTTTTTTGTTGTAATTATTTTTCCACGTTTTATGTCAATGTTATATTTAATAATTATGTATGTTATCGATACTGACCTGATGCGTAGTAGATAAAGAAAGAACTATGCATATATTGTAATTGCCTTATATATACTAATTACCTATATATAAATTGCTGTATTTCGCCCAGCATTATTGTGTTGAATGCACCTTTAAAATATTCCTTTCCCATAGTATAAATATCGGTGGAGCCAAAATGGCTGACCATGATCACCAGCACCAATATTGCTTTTTAAAATAACATTCACAACAATGTTGGCTCATAGCCACTAGATAGCGCCACTTACTATAAAATGTGTCTGTTGGCGTGACTTGCAACCAAGCTTAACTAAAATGCTACCAGCAGTTGTGGCAAAATTATTGCCAAGTGTTTAAGTAAAAGTACCTATACTTGTTCAAAAAATAACGTTGCTAAAAATAGAAGTACTTATCAACTCTGGTACAGAAGTAAAAGAAAGAAAGAAATAAAGAAAGAAAAAGTACAGACTCTGAAATGTTCTTAAGGTGTTGTTTTGACTCTTGGCTTGACCTGTCAGAGGGTTGCCACAGCAAGTTTCTCACGTGATTTGTTAGGAGCAGTTTTCAACCTGTGGGTTCTTCCTGACACTACCCCAATTATGTATGTCGACTTGGGACCAGCATTGGGTCACTGACCGGGAATCAAACATGTGCTCTCTGTGTTAAAGGCAGCAACATGTCCCACTGATATCAGTGCCTGAAATGTTCTCAAGTACATCGGCCTGAGTAAATAGAAAAAAATGAACTTTTACTGTCCATGATAAACAACGCCCTAATTGATAATTATAATTTCGGGAAGCAGGGTGTGTTACAGCAGCAACAGATTCAGAGCAGCAAGTAATTTCTCATCCATGGCCTTATTTAAGAGAAAAAATATATTACCGGTACATGCCGCATGTTGTAGCTTAAGAGCTAGTTAGCTTCTGCATATTTATGCTATTAAAATAATGTGTTCCCATAACATTGGTAATGTGAACTGAGTAGCAAAATATTTTTAAACAGTCAATGATATCTTCAAAAGAACACCTTACCAGTGTGTGTTTTTTCCACATAAGACACAATTTTCAAAAGCCTGAAGCTGGTGATTTATGGCTTGCACAAGAGGCAACACATAGCTGCGGCCTTTTGAAGGAGCTGCAGCTGTTTGATGGTCCTTTGAGAGAGTCCAGTTAAAAGGTCGCTAAGGACTTGGTCTATAGTTTCAAAAAAATTATTCAAAGGGTCCTATTTTCATGCTCAGTGCAGGTCCAGTGCAAAGTGTAGTTTAACTGTGCATGGGTGGAGTTTTCTTTTATTTCGTATTTTGCCTGAATCCACCACGCGTATTCGTGGAGGGCTGAATTTGTCTGCCTGCGCGTCAATGAAATACAGCAAAATCCCTGATGGGTTTCCCATGTTAACACAAGACTGTGGTGTCAGCTGACAGGTGGTGACAATTTGCTCGACTTCTGTTTTCGAATCCTCCCTCCACCCTTTGGTGTGTGCAGCCATGTTTCTAGAGCAAAGTTGATCCACAGCAATGGAGTTTATGAAACATTTGCCAAAGCGCTTGATAATAGTTGATGTACAAAGCCAAGGATATGTGTCCATTCACCAAGGTTGGTGCCAAAGTCCTCTGCCTTGCAAAACATTTATGATCGTACCCCGCCCCCGACGTCGCCATTTAAAAAAAGTTTCCACTATTATGTTGTTAAAAGTTAGTGTGACAGTCATAGTTGAGAGTTTATTCCTACAAAATTTGGGAGCAATTGTGACGCCAGTTAAAGAGTACAAGATGGAATCCAAATTCCACAACAGCCTTCCAACTGAATGGATAAAAACACAACACGGTGGAACCTTTCATTTTAATACTTCTTAAAGTCTGCAATTAGGTATTTGGCCAAAATGTTAAGAAAAAAAATACATGCAAGAGATCAACATTTCGCTTGATATTTTACCTCAGTGAGATTCGTAAGATTTAACTGAGCAACTGTGTTTTGCATTTTCTTTGGAAAAAGACGAACAAGTCAGATGAGGACCACAGACTAAGAAATGACACATTGCTGATTTTGGAAATGCTTTTATTTATCTATTTCTTACTATAAATATAACAAGGCAGAAAAAATGTATTTTTAATGCAACCCCTCTGATAGAAGTCAGTCTTCATAGGTCTACAAAGGTAAAGCACTTGTTGGCAATAAGGCACATACGAAGAGTTTGTATTGTGACACCTACGGTTAAACTAGGCTTCTGTGTAGCTCCACACCAATGATCAGTGTTTGTTATGTGGGTGAAATGCAAGCAAATGAAAGAAAAGCAGCAGTTTGGAGTGAGCCACAAGTAGGAAGTGACCTTTGTCAAACGCACAAACATGTTTTTAATGCCGGTTGGAGCATACTTGTTTTTATAGCTTGGCCAAGACCGGACTCCAGTTTAGGTAAAGAGCACTGCAAAGTTGTCATCTTGGAGCTTAAAGACCCACTCAAAACATAATCCAGTTCCAAATAGTAAATAAAAACAAGAATAAGAAAAGAACAAAATACAATAACGTGAATTCTTTCAACTGTTGGACACTTTGGCAGGAAAAAAAAATCTACTTTTGTTACTTCGACTTTTGAAAAATCTCTAAACAATGTTAATAAAGTTATCAAATATATTAGACCTTTTCTTCTCACTTCATACCCAACGCATGTATAATGCATATATTAATTACATATATCCTGATGATTTGTCATCATACAAGAAAAATAAAAGTAGTTGTCACCAGTTGTGGACATTTAAAATGGTGAGTTGGACTAAACAAACTTGTTTTCATTTATTTCTTTTGTGTCTCCTGTTCTGTCATGCATGGATGTAGATTTGAATCATTGGCATTACAGGTAATGTTTTGGTAAGTTTATGATCCTGAGGTGGAGCAAATTTCATAACTTGAGCCATGAGCTGAAAAAGTGTGGGGGAACCCTGACTTAGACTGATAGGATCTCCTTCAGAATAATAAGAACAATAATAAACAGTTAAAATAATGCACTCCCATAAAAATGACTATTGTCTCAGCACCAGGTCGGGTATTGCTCCAGTTGTTTCCAGTCTGAGATCACATGTGTAGAGTTTCTTTTTACAAGTGCCTATTAAAACATTCATGAGTGTAACCACAGAGGACTGATTCTACACTCTTGAAACTGCACGGTCAAAAGTAACCCAAAGTGGGTGACGTAGCTAACCCAGCACTGGGTCCAAAAGGGACTCAGCCAATGATGGGTTATTTATTCAGTTGAGGATTTTACCTAGCAAGTTGGGTCGAGGTTTTGATCCAACAAGATGCAAAAACTATCCATACTAATCAGCTAAATCTACAAAAGGTCAAAGTAATGAACATAGCCTTTGGTAAAAGCAACCCAATCTGCTCAAAAACAACTTTTTTTAGTGTGTGACTGATGATTGACAATGCAACAGTCAAGTAGCCCGAGTGCATCTCCTCATCTGTCTCCATAGTTTGAAGGAGGGTAAAGGAATGAAGCGAATGTTGTTATATGGAGGAGGTAGCCTTGTCACGTTACCCCAATACTGCAACACCACAAATTCACTGGACTTGTGAGTCATCCTAAGTCCAGAACCATTCAAGAATCTTTCCACTTCAGACTTTATTATGAAAGGCACGGTGGAAGATTTCAAAAAAACAAAAAACAGACCAGGGTGGCATAAAAAGTATGTGTAAGGCACCGTGGTGAGGCCTTTTTTTAATATCCTCAGACTGCAGTATATGTAAGCTTAGTTAGCATGTAGCCACTAATGTTCATATAGAAAAGGCCTCAAATGTATTTGCATTTTTGTTCACCTTTCACGAGTCAAAAATGAATTCTAAAAAGACGATATAAATGAGACACATTCAGTCATAGTCCCCAGTGAGAAAAAAACATACAATATATGTGATGTCACCATTTTTCATATATTAAAAATGCTGTTATGTTTGCTTTCTATCTGTCCAAAAAAAAAAAAAACCCACGCACACACATTCAACTGGGGACATTTCTTCAAATAAACCAAGAAGTGTGTTCAAATAGTTAAAGCAGCGACACCGAAACGAGCAAACTAGTTATAAGCCATTGAACACACCGCTTGAAAACCTTCATTTAAAAAGAACCGCAACAACATAAACACAGCTAAATGAGCCAAATAAGTACCAAGCAGGCATGTATGTTTGAAGCATAAACATTCAATCTGCCTGGACGGACAGCAACACCTACAGCACTTGACAAGGAAAAACAAAACAAAACAAAACAAAAAAAAACCCAACTAAAATATAGTAGTTGGAAAAAAAATACTACGACATTCATTAGTATATGCAAAACAGTTGGCTTCAGTGGTATCCTCTCGTGTCAGTAGTTCTGAACTTTTTTTCCCCCACTTGTACTTCTAAAGGTATCTTTACCCCCTAAAATACAAAGCTAAACCTACGGTATAGAACCTTAAATATGTCATCTCTTCATAAATACTTGAATGTACCTTCAGGTTTTTGTTGCTATAGCAACCTGGTGACGAGGCCGTGGGTCATTGACAAGATGGCGTTGTTTTGTTAATTTTGCTCACAGTTGAGACGAGGCCGTCCCCGCACCGAAGTCAACTTCCTCCAACGGCAGTTCGCCTCATAAAATTTGCATCGAAAATTGTGCCATGAAGTTGCCTTTGTTTCAGGTTAAACGTAGGCTCATACGTGGGGTGCGCTGTTCCACCGCGTGTGCTCATACTCGTTTCTTCAAGCGTCACTGCCACTTTGGGTGTGCTCAATGGTTCTCCGAATCCAAAGGTGTTTACTCTTAATGCCCGCTGTTGAGAAGTTACAGGGGTGGATCAGTCACAGGCAGAATAACGCTCGTGTTTACTTCAAGCAGGCCGAGCCACCGCATCTCAATACTGGTAGACATCGTGGATGGGCAGCTGAAAGGCCATGGCCGGGAAGGCCTGCGGCACGGCGTAGCCGGCGTAGCCTCCGTATGCTGCAGCCGCAACGGCCGCGTTCTTCTGCAGGGCAGCCAGGGCAGCTGTGTTGGCCGCATAGTTTGTGAATGGGACATATCCGGCACCGTACAGGCCGCCGGCTGCTTGGATGCGCGGGACATTGTGGGCCATGGCATAGATGGGAGTGATCGGACGACCCTGTAGAATGAAGGGGGAGAGTATTGAAGTATTCAATGCTTTGTACATCCCGAACATGAACAAGTTCAACAACACTAATTACAGCAACTGCTCATGATGACCCTTCTAACAGTGTTAACTATAATTTAGCACATCTATTTCTATCCTCTTGACAACTCCTTCAAATAGAAGTCTAAATAATAAGCTACCAAGGAAACATGCAGTCATAAGGAGGAACTACTGCATGCCTGTGAAATGTGGCTGCACATTCTTCATTTGTTCATATTTTTGGGACAAGAGGTGGCGCGCATACCTGAAAAGGTGGAGGAGTGGAGACCGGCAGAACTGTGGCGGCGGCGGCAGGAGCCGAGGTGTGTTCAGGGTGTTGCATGGCCAGAGGGTTAATAAGGTGCTCCACTGCGTGCACCTTGCCCTCCTCCATTAGCTTGGCCGCGGGGGCCGCACTGAACACTGGGTACTGCCCGGCCAGAGTTGGCAATGCCACTGCAGGCGGACACAGAAGTGAGTGGCGGTTTGGATCACACACAGAAGTAAAAAAGGATGCGATGTAGCATCTGGCTAACAGCAGAAGACCAGCACATTCAATACATCCACCCATGCTCAAAAAGTCACACCGACTAAAACACAAAATGGTACAGATCAAAGAGAAGAAGCTAAAGAAGAGAATGTATGTTAGAAGAGAAGAATATGATAAGCGGGTCGTGTTTGAATATGATTTAGAATAGAATGGTGCTAAATTTTGGATTGACCACATTGCTTCACCACACACGCAGGCGCACACCTTTAGAATGAGCATAACGTCATCATTGTTTCCGATGGACAAAGGTCTTTCCAATTTAGGGGTAATCCTGTGTTTCCACACCTGACCAAACTACTGATTTCTAACTTATCAAAGCTCCAGTCGCGTAACAAAGCTTCCGATTTTCAAAATAGGCAAATCTTGCAATATCAATAAAAGACAAGAATAATTATGTGGTGGGTGAGGTATTGTTTGCGTCTTGCTTTATGATGATGGAATCTATTCAATACTTGATTTATATTTCAGGATGAATTGCCCATCAGATTTTACTGTTGACGACTCAACAACATTCCACCTTCCCTCCAAGTTTTCTAGTGTTAAAAAAAAAAAAAAGTTCAACACGGCTCTATTCTGTGTGTGGATATTATTTGTGAAGAAGAACCAAACATTTGCTTAAGAGCGATTCCCCTCCATTTATATACGACGTATCCCCATGTGCTTACAGGTACATACGCCATTTTATTTTTTATTATACTTGCATATATAAACCAAGGCTGAGTTGAAATGGAGGAAAACAACGTAATCAATAAAACACGGGACAAAAAATATACGCATCAGCATAGTTTTGTGTCGACTCGAATAGACATATGCAAGTCTGCGTATGAAACATGGAGACACTTAACATTGTCTTTGTCTTACCTCCAACTGCAGTGAAACCAAGAATAAAGGGACTGCTGGATAATGGCGCGTTCCATTGCCATTGTAAAGCTAATTACAAGCACTCTACAGTTGAGTAAAGTCCCGCCCTTAACCACTGCCCAAGGAAACTTGACACATGACAGTACGGTTGTCTCATCTTGACGTTAGGTTCGGAATGTCAACTTTCGTTTTCATCTGTAGTTGGTGACAACGTCATCAGTCATTCATTTGAATCAGCAGGAAGTCACGCAAACAATAATTGAACATTGTGCACTTAATGTCACTAATGTTGCTATTTTGTGTTACTGTTCCTCTTTTCGATGAGAAATCAGAAGAGTGGACACATAGGAATGAATTTAAAAAAAAAAAAAAGAAAATGCCTGTGAGACAGGTTCAAATTTTGATTCCAGTCTTGACTGAATGTGCTGTGAGGTGTTTGCCACAGAGAATAACTTTCACTTTTTACTGACAAAAAAAAGAAAACCAACAAGAAAAAATACACCCATGTTTTTAGAGTTGGATTAGATGTGAAACAACAATTCAGTCAAAAGCTGGAGTTGCAAGGTTGAAAAGAGAAAGTTAACATTATTTACAATTCAATGTTCAGACAGACAACATCACCGAGGGATGAATTATTGTGAACTTATTGTCGTTATTTATTTTGCATTGTCACCCAAATGTTCCTATTCCCCTTTTCAAATTGATTTAAATTAATGATAAAGCAAATAGTTATTACTGGACTTCCTTGGTCCTATTTTATCAAGCTAGCATGGAGCGTTGGTTACAATGCAGCCACCTTGTGAGCCAGCAACGTACAGTAGTAACCTGACACTCCAGATGTCCTGTTTTACCAAATGTTTTTTTTTTCACATCCATGTGTGTAAAAGCCAATTGAGATTGGCTGGGAAATGTCAAGCACTTGTACAACTGCTGTATCGTTACATCATGCTGCAATTACATGAAAGGGTAAAAAAAAAATGCTAGCTTGACAGGTTTATCACCGTGAAAGCATACCGGTATTTTCCATCAAGATAGATGTTCCATTGCTCAGTTGTCTCACTTGTTTTAGTTGAGAAATATTTTCTCGGATCCAAAACTATCTATCTTACCTAACCAGTTCTGATTAAACTGCTGCTCTGACAACATCAACGCTAACCTTTTTGATGCGTTGCGCTTTTCGGTACATTGAAACTGAGAAGAAACCCACCGCCTCATGCTTGATATGTGATTTGATTAGATTTGCTGTGATAAATTTCAAACCCTTTTTCTTGAATGTACAGCCAATTTACATGTTGATTAGGTCAATGTTGTTATCAGTCTGAACATTCCGTAGGACAATTTTCTTTTTTTGCATCAGCAGCAAATAGCAGTTACCATTTGATCACGCAAGAAAGCAAATCTTTCTTCTTTGAATCAATCAGCAACGGCAGCCGTTTAGCATGTCCATCCGGCAACAACTATTATTTTGATTTTGACAGAAAGACAGAAAGAACGAGTTCTTACAGAAATACATGAAACGACCATCCATGTCATTGCCTGTATTCTATGCAAGAACAGTGCGAGAAGAAGAAGGAGACGGAAAGGGTTTAGTAAAGGCTTTTGAGATGGGTGAGGGTAGGGATGGCTATGTCTATCTCACTGACTTGTGCCTGGTTTGATGGCAACTGGGTTGACGGAGGCAGCAAGCTCCAGACTGGGCATCAGTTCATAGGACTTTTCGGGCAGCTTGGTCTTACCCTCATGGTAGCGGCTGTAGATGCCACGACCGGCAGAGTAACCCCCCAGGTATGACCCCCGAGGACCAGGGGTACGGTTACCCGTGGCGGCGCGACCACGACCTCGCACAGTACCTGCTTGAATACAACAGGTCATCGGATTACTGGGGTAATGGTTTGGGACTTTCTGTTGAAATTCTTGCGATAGACAACGTGCTAATGGACAAGGATGAGATGTCATTTTGCAGTGCTTATGCAAATTGAATAATATAAACAATGGTGGTTTGAGCTCAGAGTGTAGCTATTGAAGGGCCACTTGATTCTCTTTCAGGGGCAATGTTCTGACTTGTAAATTGTGTCTGGGCTCCGTGACGTTCTATGCCATGTTGTGGATATTCATCCATGAGATGGCAGAAGGAGACAGCGTAGCAGGAAAGGGGATGGTGTTAGAAAATGTATAGTTGGTCACATAGCAAGAAGGCTAATTGTTCATTGGGAAAATAAGTAGAAATGAGCGATTACCATTGTTCTGTATCAATGAGGTTCCTTTGGAGAGAAAACCAAAACACAATGATTGTTGAAAGTCAGATCGATTTTCCTGCTTCCACCATATTCAATCAATCATCCAAGATAACGGGATTCACTTTCATGACGTCATCACCCCTGTTGTTGTCTCTCATGATTCGAAGGACAGACCTTCATCTATTCAAGTTTATCTTGATCAAGATTGAGTTTCCCTTAAATTTGAAGTGCTTATTGCATCATAGGCGACTTAACGTAATTAGAAGTTTTTAGCGATGAGTTTACCCCCCGAACACCTGCAACTACCAACAATCACAAAAACATTTCATGTTTTAGTGTCTGACACTAAAGTGCTCTAACCTTTCACAAAGTAGTCCCTGTTCGGTCCGATGAGTGGGTTGTAGGGATAACCATAGTAGGCCAATGTGTAAGGGTCACACTGGTAGACGTAGTTTTGCTGTGGAGCTTCCGGAGTAGCAGAAACCCCCTTTGATGCCTTCTGGCGAGAGTACTGCTCTTTGTCAACTGGCTTGGCGAGTGTGACCTCAATGCAGGAGCCCTCCACCTCTGTTCCATTCAGGTGGTCCATGGCCAGCACGGCATCATCGCGGGATGTGAAGTGAACAAAGGCGTAGTCACGGATTTTCTTCACTCGCTCTACACAACCTGGGTTCCACTGACTAAACACCTGGTTGATGAAGAAAATACCATTGTTGTTTCTTGAACCAAAGTCAACGTGATTCGCTAAAGTGTTCCATTTACAGTAATCCCTCGCTATGACACGGTCCATCTTTCAGGGCTTCGATGTTTCATGGAATTTTACCTGGAGTTCTTTTTGTTCTTTTTTTTTTTTTTAAATAGCGCATTGTGTGGTGCACCCTGATTGGCGAAGGGACTGTAGACTAATGTCAACAGTCTCTGTACCTCATCGATGTACAGCTTGCCAAATTTTCTCCATGACAAAATCCACAATGTCGACGAAACTCTCAGTTTGTAAGAAAATGTGTGTGTGTGTGTGTGTGTGTGATAGATAGATAGATAGATAGATAGATAGAAATAGATAGATTTTTTTTTTAAATGCTTGGGCCTGAAAAATAGATAGATAGATAGATAGATAGATATAAATAGATAGATTTTTTTTTAAATGCTTGGGCCTGAAAATTTTTTTCATCTTTGGTTTCATCCAATACAGTATTGTATTGTATACATAATAATTGTCAAAAAAAATAAAGATGAGTACTTCACGGATTTCACTTGTCACGGGTTCTTTTTGGAACGCAAGCTCCGCGATAAACGACGGATTACTGTACTACTGTCAAGGCAACCTACCTGTTTAATTGTTTCCTCGCTGGTCTCCATCATAAGATTCCTGACGTAGAGTATTTTCACAGTCTCCATGACATCTTCATCCACATCAATTTCTGGCTCTGCCCAGTCCACCGCAATCTGATGACCCCACAGCTGAATGCGTCCAGGCATCAGTTTCCTGCGGGCCATGGCGGCCGCACGGTGCGACTCGTATTCTACAAAGGCAAAGCCACGGTTCTTCATCTTGTCTGCAGCGCTGGCGTAAACAATCACATCTAGCACGCCCTCGGTCACCTTGGAGACCTCCTCCAGAATCTCCTCACGCTTTTTGGTCTTGGGGATACCGCCAATGAAAAGACGGCAGTTGTCTACAGAGGAGCAGACCCCGAGGAGCCGTCCGGGCCGCACCTCGTAGTTGTTGAGCTCCCGCACAGCCCGTTTGGCTTCGTGTTTCTCAGTGTACATCACAAAAGCATAGCCCCGATTCTTCCCATCAAAGTCCATCATCAGGCGCATCTCATAGATGCGTCCCACAGACTCGAACACGGGAACGAGCTCGTCCTCATAAACATCTCTTGGGATCTTGCCCACGAAAATTTCACATCCCCTTGGTGGAGATGGGCCGTTCCAACCGGGAGGGGGCCCGTATTTGCGTTGGCCATTTTCCTGGACCATACCGTAGCCAGTGCGCTCCATCAAAGCCACCAGTGCAGCCTCATTGGGAGTGCCTGCGACACCCTCCGGAATGTTGATCTGTCCGAGGAGAGTGTGGTGGGGGGCACCGGTGGATTTGCAAAGCTTGGAGGGGGCAGTATTGTTGCTCATGGTTGAAGAGGAAGCAGGATCTTCGGCTGTCATTCTGACAAAAACATCCAATTAAAGCTGTGGCCTGAGGAAGGCAAAGAGATTGGGAGAAATTAGTCGTTGGTTCTTGTCAAATACTTGAATGACATTCAAGCATATATTATTTGTAATTCCTGAATAAAAATCACTCAGTCATAGATGATTAGAAACCAAGACAAAAGGTCGTCGTTTGGTGGGCTTATAACGTGACAATCGTCGATAAATGCGCAAGCTGCCTCACACTATCAGTAATTTTACAACCCTGTTTTGTTCGCTCCATAAGACTCTTTTCTGATCTCTGACCCCCATAAGGAAGATTGGCAAGTCATAAATCCTTCAACTTTCGTTCAAGGTTCACCGAGGTCGGCTCTGTCACATGTTCACGATGACTGAGTGGTGCTGGCACGGCTGATCTTACATGCACTGTACCTCCATACACATTTAACTGTTTGTCACACTGTAGCTGCAAGAGATTGTTGGATATTCAACGCCCTGCTCAATATGAATGTCATACTGTACAGTGTGTTTGTGTGTGCGAGTGCATTCTCTTTTTTTAATACTGTACCTGCATAAAAAGCACTGAGAACAATCAGCTTCCTAAGCGTAAACCTCTTATATCTCAACACTGGCGGCATTCAGAAAGCAAAAATGCACAGCATTAAGTCTCTAATCACCACAATGTGAGGCAACCAATCATCTTGGACCGTGTGTGTGTGTGTGTGTGTGTGTGTGTGTGTGTGTGTGTTGTGTGTGTGTGTGTGTGTGTGTGTGTGTCTGTATGGGAGTGGGGGGGTGCTTCTTTCGATTGTTCGGACATTTGATCATGAGCATGAGGCGGTCAACAAAGGTTAAAAAAAAAAACTACAAAGCCAAGCAACCATGGTAACGTAAGCATTCATTTGCCTGAACCAATATCCCAACACCCCCATCCAACACACACACACACACACACACACACACACACACACACACACACACACACACGCTCTCACACCTACAGACACACCCCCACACACACACACACACGCGCACACACGCACACACACACACACACACACACACACACACATACACACACACACACCTGCTCTCTGCTACCTTACAGCCTACGAACTACAAACACCCTAGATTGCAATTTATGAACAAATCAAAGTAATATAAGAAGAATCAAGATTCTTTAGTGAATGCAAAAGGGCAGGAGCCAAGAGTGACGAAACCAGATGTTGCTTATTTTCTGTCTTTTGTCATTAGTCGAGCGTGACGAGGTCAAGGTGACATATCCGACCATTTTATGAACCTGTTCCTGTTGTTTTTCTTGATGATTAAGCAAGTGAGCTTCATAAGCCTAAAACAAACAGTAGTCAAAAGGATTATTAAAACACAAGGAAGGACCACAGCTCTCAGACAGCGCAGACCGTTGACATTAGTCTAACCCAATCACGACTCACTGTGTGGTCGTGAGTGTGTGTGTGTTGGGTAAGAGCTGCAACAGGTAGATGATTAACCTACGACCACAAATTGTATACTTTTACTCAAAAGTGAGCTTTACTCTCAGCACCAAAATCACATTTTCAGAGCGAGACAACAACACAAGAGTAAAGAACACATACTATCTCCCATCTCATCCGTCTCCTATCTCATCTGATTTAGCGACAACAAGATCCCGTCAAACCTTCAAGACCGACCGTGAAGTCATTCGACAGCTCTGAAAGGGCGAAGGCTTGATTGGCTAATCTTACCAGGTTAAGAGTCACTATCATAGCTTTGAGAGATCAGCCTCGTGTTTATAATTGATAGAAGCACCTGATTCCTTGCGCATTAACAACGTGTCCTAGAGGACCACATTGTTTTATGAGTGCAGAGAAGGCTTTTACAAGCATCCTCTGGACTAAGCCATAAAGCTGAACTCATGTTACCCATTGGAAAGTGGGCTTGGCGTTGACCCATAATTCCACACAGTAGGAGGAAAAAAAAGATTAAGAATACACTGTAGGCCTAGAATGACTCTCTGTGAGCTACAATATGTATATTAAAGCTGGCCATCATCAGGCGCACACGCACAATATACTATAATATCTAATCGAACAGCGGTATCAGTAATTCTGCCTTCGAAAAGATCACAAGTTTTACCAAGGTATCCATTGAACAAAGCCATTTTTTGTTCCCATGTATTTTGCAAGTAAATCACTGCAGTCAATTCAGCAACCTTTATGATTGTGGGTTTAATTCACACTGGTGTAGAAGTGCAGCACTTCATACTGTGATGTTTCTAAATTTCAGCTTAGCTCCATTTGGATCTGTACATATTGTGCACAGAGGTGTGTAGGACAAATTGAATATTTCTGTAAAAGGAAAATGAAATCTTTCCATTTCCATCCAAAGGTGACGCTACAAATAGGCCCGAGTTGCCATGCTACGCTTCAAGGAACCATAAACAAAAACATTACATTACTTTAACACACACACAGATGCATTTTCACACAGCCTCGGGTGAAAAGAGCTCAAACTTCCCTTTGTGGCTTGTTGCAAATGTTATTCTGACCGAAGCAAGAGAGAGGCAAGGTGAAGTCCTCATTACAGAAAGAGACGGATGCAAAAAAAGAGAAGACGGAAGAGAAGCCGATAATGCTGAGAAGGGATGATAGCTACCAAAGTTGCTTGACAGCACTCCACCGCTGGGCCGTCTGCTCTAAGGAGTGCTGGTCCACCTCCATGACAGACAGGTTCAGCGGGGCACTGAACACACATGGACCGGCCTCCTCTACACAAACACTGCAAGCGTGAGCACTGATCAGGGTGGAGCTTGAACAGGTACTCATCTGTGTATGGTATGTATGCATGTGTGTGAGAGAGAGAGAGAGAGAGAGAGAGTGGAGGAGAGATGGCTGATGGGAAATGCAGTCGTCTTTTCTGCTTAGAGATACAGAAAAGGAAAGGTGGAAAATAACAGGAAGCGTTTAGAAGCTTTTAGAAACATCCTCTGGTTTTTCGGGAGTGGGGGTTGCTGGATGATTTCTGTCCTGTCTGCACAAGACGTGAGCATCTTTGGCCATGTAGGACTTTTTTTTTTCCAGTCAGCAGCTTAACTTAAGCAAACAATACACACCTTCCTGGGCAGCTAAGAGCAGAGGGAGAGAGAAAGAAGGGTGCAAAGTCCCAAATGAGAGGGCTTGACTTGCTCTTGTAGGTTCTGTCTTAAAAAAAAAGTGCTCTCAAGAGCAAGAAGAGAGGGAGTGAAGGACAAACTAGAGCAGATGGGGTGAAATCAAGTGGGTGAGATTAAAGTCTCGGTGTGTGGTCAACAGTTTGCTTGAGTATCAGCTGCTATTGAAACTGGCTCCACTCCTTAACGACCGGGAAAACAACTGATAAGGAAATCTAAACAGCACCAAGAACAAAGAGAAATGCTGAAAAAAATTCCATAGTATGGTTTAAACCCCCCCCCCCCCAAAAAATCATCTCTTCAGGTGTTCTGAGGTGAGGGGGGATGGGCTGAATCTCAAAACGATCAATGGTTAACTGTGTAGCGCCCCCAGGGAGACCTACCCTGAAGAATATTTACCACTCACTCACTAAATACTTTAATACTCAATCATTGCCTTGTATGATTATATGACTGGAGGTGAAATGTGAAAAGTGTGTAGAATTTGAAGGGTTCGGGCAATTTGATGACCACTCAATTGATCAAATGTCGTACTGCCAGATACGCACAATTTATCATAGCTGTTCCCTTTTTCTGGTTGACTATTGTGTTCCCAATTGTTTCGGTATGGTGCATTAAAACAGCAAATTGTGTTGATCTGACTCTACCTCAGCTTGTTGAAACGAGGTTTTAAAAACGTACAATATTTGTTTGTAAAGCTGTGACACATCAGCATATTTCAACATATGATTTTTATAGAAGTTTGGTGACTGTTAACGGCTTGTAAAGTTTTTTTTTTTTTTAATGGGTTAACAAAGTTGCTGAGTCTAGTTAAACCCCAAAGATTTGTTACCATCTTGAGCAAAATGTGCAAATATCTATAATGATTTATTTTGAAAATGTCTTGACATGTAAAAACTGTAATGGGACAACAGGTTAAACGGAGTTAAAGTTGTCACTGTATGACTTTGTTCTCTGTTGAGGCCAGAGCCACACGAGTTGTCACTGTATGACTTTGTTCTCTGTTGAGGCCAGGGCCACACGAGCACATACACACACACACATAGGAATTACACACACAAACACACACAAACACACACACACACATAGGAATCTGCCAAGCAGACAAAAAGGCAGGAATAAAGTCAGCAATAAAACAGTGCTGCTAATCAGTATCTTGGCCTGTGAGCCAGTTTGGTTCTGCAAGTCATCCATGAAAGTAAATAAGTAGCATGTCACGTGTGTAAAGGGTCGCAGAGAGCGACGTGACCTGCAGGAGTGCTGCGTTTCGGCTCGCGCTGGACTTTCCAGGAAGCACTTCCTCCCGGTCATATGCAGACACTGAGAAACAGCTTGAACACTTTCAAAGAAAACAATTTCCTGTGGTGATTTCCAACGCATCTCTTTGAGAACACAGAGGCCGGTTTTATTAGTAAGAAGTGATGACAAAGTCCACTAAACACCAAAAGAGATGAGTTAATAATTTGTGTCTCTTTTGCATTCTCCAAGTGAACGAGTGAGCAAGTGAAACAAAGAACTTGATGAAGGAGAAGCGAGAACTGCGGCTAACCCTTGAGGACACATGATGTCCTCACAGCGGAGGTTCACACAGTACGTCTGTCAACACGCTGACGGTCATCCAGGAGGACTGCATGGCTGACTACAGTCACACTAATAATTTAGTCATGTGACAATTTGACAAGCCTTTCACATGCTAATGTTGCTCTAGGTACCTTTGGTGAGAGGTAGAGTATGTGTCTTGGGTACTGGGCACTTTACAGAGATGCACAGTACTGAAAATTACATTACAAAATAATAAAACGATAAACTGGGCAGCATGGTGTAGGAGTGTTGACATGTCTGTGTCACAGTTCTGAGGATTGAGATTTGAATCTTGACTCCAG